GGAGGGGAGGGGGGAGAGGAGGGAAGAACTGGGCACAGCTGACTAGGCAGTGGAGACTGCCCCTGGGAGTTGTGCAGTTAGGAAATGACTCACCTCTGAGCAAGAAAGTCCCTGTGTGCTGCTGCACAGCCTCACCCAGAGAGAAGGTGCTGCTGCACGGCCTCACCCAGAGAGAGGGGACTTTTCCCAGGTCACAGTGGGTCAGGGAAATCTGGGCTTAGGACCCAGTGCTTCGCCCCTGGACCGTGAGCCCTGTGGCGACAGTGCCTCCTCGTCAGCACGGCGCCATCAGAGCCCGGCACCCACTCAGCTTTCTTACCCTTCTCCCCTGGGCAGCGAAGGACAACCAGGGTCAGAGCAGAGGAAGCTGCAGTTTGGCTGAGGAGTGAGCATGTGATCATTATGAACAATGACACTTCCAGCTCTGCCACACTGCAGGGCCTCTGGAAAGTGCCCCGTATGAACTTGGTCATCAAATCCTGTCAACAGATCAGGGAGATCCTTCCACCAGGCCGGCCAGGGAGCACAGGTGAGAAGTTTGCCAATGTCTGAGCCACACAGAAGGAAAGCTGTGCCGGAGGCTCCTGGCACTCAGGGCTGCCCGGAGCACACACTCGGTTCCTCCTCCCAACCTTCCTGCTCTGCATTCCCAGAGCAGCACGGCCCAGGAGTGCAGCAGTGTTGGAGAGCTTGGGAAACAGTGAGCTCGTCACTGAAGAGATCTGACAGGAATCCCCAGCTCCTGTGTTTCAGACTGGTATTGTTTCTACTCCCCTAGATTGCTTCCAGCATAGAAAACAATATTTAAAAATCAATCAAAACCCAAGCCAATAATGATTATATGAGCCACATGATTGATATTATTTACTCCACCTGGATTAAAATGTTCCCCAAGAAAAAAATCTATAAAGACAACATGAGCCATTATAAAAGCTACACGGAGGCTTCCAGATAATAAAATGGATATCATAAATTATTTCTACCTCTGGGAAGAGAATAAGTCTCTCTCAGATCAATTTAGAAAGCTTGAGAAAAAGTGGAATCACATGAGTCATCGTATCAGATTAAATCCACCTGGTTGTAGCTGTTGTGGCCCCTCCCAGGCCCTTTCCAAGGGATTTCTTCCCAGGGACCACTGCACAAAGTCCAAATCGAAGGTCTTCAGAGAAATGGTGGGCCTTGGAAACGAAGCTGCCTTCTCCCATGATGGTGGAACCCTGGTGCAAAGAGGTGGCTGTCGAGTCTGGCCTCAGACACCGCAGTGGTCGGCTTTGTGAGGGATGTGTGCAACTGTGAGCTCATGATTGCACCGGTAGCCCTGGCCCTTTCCCAGGAGCCTGTTCTCCCGCATATCGCCACCGCCTGCCAACCCACACACCAAAGACTGCGCTCCCACCAGTGCAGCTCCACTCACTCCCACAGGACTCGCAGGGCGTCTTGTCCTTCCTCTTGCCCCAAAGTAGACGCAGCTGTTTGAAGAACTAGTGCTAATCTCGGCTCGTCCTCGGGGGAGGTAAAGGGAATGTGGTTTGGACGGGGAGGCCTGGGCTTACACTTGCACCGTCGCAGGCCAGCCAGGCCCTTGCGTAAGTCTGTTCTTTGTGCCCCTGCTGCCCTTCACAAAAGGAGGACAGAGTGTTTCCCTTCACAGAGGAGTGTTACAAAGGTTAAGCGAAGCCTCTCGTTTTTGCACCAAGAGATGCGATCAATATTAATTTTTCTCTTAATCCAGGACATGAGTGTGGAACGGTAAAATTTTATCCATAGAGTGCCAAAGGAAGAAACTGTTAAGAATTTATTATGCACATCTAAGGCAGAGGAGCCTGTACTGTCTTTTAGTAATTGCAATGACTCTTCAAATCATTTAATTCAGTAGGTTGGAGTCCCAACAAAGTGATCCTTAGCTTAGGAAGCATAAACCATCACAAACACTTCACACAACTAAAGGGACAACTTTGCTTCACAGAGAGGGTTGTCTGACCACGAGGTGAGAAGGGTGTCTCTGTTCTGCTGCTGCCCTCGCTGCATTGGGTCCATGCCAGGGCATCTGGTGGCAGCGGCAGTGAAAACACCATGGGTGCCAGCACCCTGCCTACCTCCTTCCTCTTCTCTCTTGGGTAGGGTGGTGGGGGATATGCTGTGCTGGGCTGTTCATTTCCCAGCTCCAGAAGGTCCTGGGCAGGAATCCATACAAGGGCTTGGTGTTGCTGCTTCACTGTGCAGATTTTCCAGAACACATTTCTGATGGGTGGTCTCCAGAATCAATACATGAATGAGAACTGTTTGTTTTTCTGTCTTGCAATTTTGCTTCGTTGCTTTTTCTGTACTCTGAATTCTCTATATCTCAGCGGCACTTTGCGAGCATAGGGACAGTCAGTCTGGCAAGCGTTTTGGCTGACACAGCCACGAGAGGATATGCATACTTTGGAAGTTTAACAGCCCTGTTACACTGCCTGGAAATCGCAGGTACCTGTTGTGATGGGGCAGTTTCTGTCTCCACTATTGAACATCTGTTTACTGGTTTCCAGACTTTTCAGAATCTTAACAATGCTGCTTTTCTGTCTTCCAGTTTGCACTGTTTGTGAGAAGAAGTTTGCTGTCTTCAGAAGGCACTAGCTTTAAAAATCTACTCTTAAAGCAGCACATTTCAACTGACTATACAGCTACGAAAGGAAGAAAAGTCTCTGCGATGCTCCAAATCCACTTTGGGACCCAGTAATATAAAATTGCATAACGCGTATTTCCTATCCCAGAGGAACCCTCAGTGAGGTGTGTAAAATAACCTTATAATATAATGCTCTAAAATAATCAAATGTAAATTTGAACCACAAGAGTTTCAAGTGACAATGTAGACCCGTTCCCCTGGACTTGTCAAAGCTAACAGGAACCTGCAGGTAAACCTAGACATACAAGTTTAGAAATGAAGATTTGCACCCCATTGTCTCAGCTTCTCTCTCGGGATAAACCTCCAGAGTTCAGAAAGATTGAAGTAAGGAGCAGAGGGCTCCAAAGAACTGATCAAGGAGATCAGTACTGTTTGTCCAAGAGTTCCTTAACATTGAACTAAGGTGAAGGAACACACCCATCTCTAAATCACTTTTCTAAAAACAACCATATTTAAACACTAGGGGAAGAATTCCCCACACATTCAAGACTTCAGGAGCTTAAAGATATGTCAGACTGGAAGGCAGACAAGAGAAGAAAGAAGGACAAGCAGAGCAGAATGTCCAAGAACTGCCATAATCCCAAAAGTATTATAGACGTGTATCAGGAAAACAGAGGGTAAGAAGGGAGCAGAAGAAAGAACAGAATTAACAATGATTGAGAATTTTCCAAGATTCATGTAGACACCAAAACATAGATGTTGGAAGTTCACAGACCCCCAACTAAGAAAAGTATCACAAAAGCAACACCTAGGCATGCAAATGACAGAACACGGAAGACAAAGCTCTGAAAGCAGACAGAGAACAAGAGCACTTTGTAAAAATAGAGAAATAAGAATAAGACTGGCATAAGTCTTCTTTTCAAAAATCAGACAAGCAAGAAAAGACTTTAATGCCATATTTAAAGCATGGAAATAGTTCAACAATTTATAAGTGTCCAAACATAGATCCTCTACTGCAAAAGTAAAGGAGAAACAAAGACTTTCCTGGACAAACAACTGAGAAAATATGTTCATTGTGCCTTGAAAGAAGTGGTATGTTCTTCAGAAAGAAGTAAAGTGACAAAGGTTAAAAACTTCCTGTACATAAAGGAAAAAGATCACCGGAGAAAAGACAAATGCAGACAAAATCAGACATTTCACTTTCCTGACCCTTCATTTATTTAACAGATAACTATTTGTTTAGAATCCATAATACATTGTGTGATTACAGCTTAGGATAAAGGAAAGAAATGAAGGCAATATTATAAAGACAGGAGAGGGACCTGAGGGGACCCAGGAAGGGGTACAGCGTTATTGCAAGTGGGCCAGAACTAGCTGAAAGTCAAACTCAAACCCAGAGTCAGTTAAAGAGCAGCGGGGTCACGGCACAGGGGGAATTTGGGGGTGATGAACATATTCTCTTTCTTGATTGTGTTGATGGTTCTATGCATGTGCACAAAGTCGATGAACTCCAGATTATAAGTGGAAGCAATTTATTTTATGTGAATTAGACATAATTAAGGTAATCTAAAAATATAGTGTGTGTACTCACTACCTGAAGATTGCTCTGAAAGGCAATATACTCAAGGAAACAAATGATATTTTGCATTACAACTGGCCTACATCTTTAAAAACACGTGTGTGCACGTGTGTGTGTGTGCACGTTCACTCTTTTCTATACATTCTAGTATAACAGAATGAGGCAACCCACAGAAAGAACTAATAGAAAGGTAAGAAAGGAAGTAATGTCATTATAAAACTTGAAAGCTAGTGAGAAACCGCAACAGAGCGAACTCAACAGAAATCGTGATGCAAATCAGAAGATTGAAAATAAAGCTGCGCTGTTGATAGCGGAGGACGGAGAGGTACGAACACCGAAGATCCTGCGGTTGGAGACCGTGGAGGGCATAGTGCAGATGGAGGACACGCACAGTGGTGTTTCCCACAGCCTGTGGTCCCCTGAGTTGTCCCGTTTGTACTCACAGCCGGGCCAGGCCATGTGTGCACAGAACCTGCCTCCCCTCCTCCAGGGACCTCACCGTGCTGTTCAAGCTCTCCCGGGACGGCGACGTTCTGAATTCTGCGGAGCGCTGTGCAGCTGGCCCAACTGGCCTCGCTGTCCCTCCCACCCGTTTTCTCTGCACAGGTGTCCCGGGTCCCCCTCAAGTGTAGCACAAGCAGCCCCAGCTGGGGCCTCCGAGCTTGCCCTTCCCTCTGCCTGCTACGCCCCTCTCCTTCTGAAGCCTGCTTTCTCCTGTTTTCGTCTCTCCTCACCTTTTCTGCTGCTCTAGGAAACAGCACCTCCTGCTTCCTTCCTGCAGGGAGAGAAGGGTTGAAACATTCCCGGTTTGTCAGTTTTCTAGCCCGGGTAATCCTTCATAGGGGTTTTCTAACCCAATAGATATTTCTCTCCATCTTCCTAAATAATAGGACTTCTAGTTGGGCTTGGTGGCACATATCTGAAATCCCAACACTTTGGGAGGCTGAAGCAGGAGGATATAACAAGTTTGAGCCCAACCTGACCAATTTAGAATTTGTGGCTAAGAATTTAGGATTTGAGACACTGTCTCAAAAGAAAAAAAGAAATAGTAGGGCCAGGGATGTAGCTCAGTATGAAGGCCCGGGGCTCAATATTCAGTACTACAAAATGAAAAGCCAAAAATAAAAAAGCTTCTAAATTTTAGGTAGACATACACCACACATAAAAGACTAAACATTAGTGAGGTATGATCACATGAATGAACTCTTTCCAATGGACACTCAATGGAAAGATGTGTGCAACTCCCTGGCCACATCTTTGCAAGGAAAGAGCACACTCCTGCTGCTTTTCCTTTTTCCTACTGACTGGACTGTGCATCAGATTGCCGGAGCAGGAGCAGCCATTGTGAACCACAAGGTAGCAGCCATGTGTTAAAAATGGCAGAAGTACAAGGAAGAAACAGCTGGGCTCCGATGACCATAAAACGGCCTTATCTACATTTGCGTGAAAGATAAATTAACTTCTACTCTATTTGAGCAATACACTTGTATTGTGGTAAGACACTAAGGTGAGGTTCACCCTGGTGGCACATTTTAAGCCCACAATGCAGCCTTGTCAAGGACAGGCCCACTGTGTGTGGTGGAGCTCCAGGAGTCGGCCATCCTGCGTGAGGGGAACGAGAGCCACGGAAGAGCGACAACTTGTTATTTTTTAATGTTGTTTTACTCACAGCTGAAAGAAAGTAATATGATAAAATTGCATCCTTAATAAAGAGGTTTTTAATCATTAAAAATACTAAATCAGTGCTAACAGGGCTTGCCACAAAGGTCACCTAAGCTCTAGATGAATGAACGGGTGAGTTCCACAGCAGCTCTTTACAGAAGATGCAGACCCCACAGTAGCCAGTGAATCATGAAAGCGGCTGAAGACCACATGGCACGAAGGGTACACAGCTGTGTCTGCGATGGGTAAAGCAAAGACAGACTCAGCACACGGGTGGAGCAAGAGAAACAATCAGTGAGGTAGGACAGAGAAGCCGACTTCACCCCAGGAAGTACGGGTGGCTCAGAAGAGCATCTCTCCGTGGATTCACCACATCGGTCACGGCCAACCTCCTTCCCTGCCCACCTGAGCTGCCACACACTAAGTTTTCTGTCTCAGCTGGAGAAACCAAGCCGTTCTCAGAATCTGGGGACCAGCACTCCCTGTCCAGGACTCCTCCCTTCTATCTTCACAGCCCCCCTTTAGTTTCAGGGGTCCTGTGGTTCACCTAGGCCCTTGTACAGCCCGGCTGCTGCTTTCCCCAGCCTCCCGGCCTCAGTACTTCCACAGACCATCCGCTGTGTAGGCTGTCACAGGATGGAGATCCGAGTGTTAGAAATCAGCTTTGCGCCTGTACATCATCAGGAGCCTGCAGGGAAAGCCTGGAGTCCCCTCGACAGATGTCAGACAGCATCCAATGACATTAAACTCCTACCCTCATTCACTGCTCTTGTGAAACGGAAAGACGGTATATTTAAAAAAAAAAAATCCTACAGAAAATATGCTCAATGACCAAATGGTAAAGGCAGCCTGCAAGGAAGGGGGTGGAGCCCTCTGCCATGCGCCACCCACTGAGGTTTGGGCAATAAACAGAAGATGAAGTTGGGGGTCTGAGGGCTGGAAAGGAAAAAGTCAATCGCAGTAATTTGTTTCCATGGAAAATAAAAAAATACTGTTTAAATGAATAATAATTAAGATGAATAATGTTTTCTAGTATAATGTTAGTAAACAAGTCAGTTGTGTTTTATACACTAGACAGTTTAAGTGTGCTTCTGTTAAAGTACAGCCATTGCAAGAGAAATAAAATACAAGGCAGCCAGGGCTAAACCTATGTGCAAAGCATTATGGAAAAACTAGGAAACATGTTTTCAGAGACTGCTTAAAACCCTGGACCAGCTGGCAGGCACAGCGTGTGAGCAGCACACCCCCGCTTCCCCAGGCCCCTGGGGCGGTGAGGGGCGCCAGCCGTCAGGGCAGGGCAGCTCTGTCCAGGACAGGCCCCTCTGCACCTCTCGGCCTGCTTCCGGGAGCCATTCTCAAGATCAGTGGAAATGCGTATTATTTCTAATCCTCGCCCCGAGAGACAATTTAGCTGACCTTAGTCTTCAGCAAGGCTGTTCCCCGAAGGAACGGCCTGAGGCCCGACAGCCCCAAGGGGTTCTGTCCCCAGAAGGCGGGCTCTGCTGCCCCCTGCTGGTGGTCCTGGCAAACCTCGCCCAGGGAGCAGGGAGCCTAGAGGACGCCAGGGGTTCGCCGGTGCTTCACAAGCTTTGCTCAGAACAGTATACTGCACTCCAACTAGGAAGTCATATAATTTAAAAAAGCGATTTCCAATGTGCTCGTTAATAGTGTAGGACTTTTGTTACTGTTTTGATTTTAGAAGAGAAGGTCCATTCCTCTTGGCCCACCCTTTACATCCACTTCTCACACCTACTACTCTCCCTGAAAGTGTGGGGACGATTCTGACAGGCACGCAGAAGGTTTATTGGCACCGCTTTCAGGACACAGACTGTAAAAAGGTCACGTGGACGCACCAGAGAGAGGGAAGCTGACGAGCAGCACAAACAGGCCTCAGACGGTCACTGGGAGGCCTGCTCTTCGGAGACGCTTTTATACTCCCCCAGTTCTGGGCCTGTGTGTGGCAGTGCTGGCCACACACCATCCCTGTGCGGGGTCCCCAAAGTCACAGGCCGCACCGAGGGGTCACGTGATCGGGGTTCGGCAGGTGAGGAGCCTGCAGGAGCGGCTGGGCAGAAGGCAGTTGGTCACCCGAAGAGTCCGGCCGCGTCCTCCCGGATCTGGGAGAGGGCCGCCTGCTGCTGCGGGCTCGCGTGTTCTCCACAACGGGAGCCGGAGAAGTGGGAGTCTTCAAGGAGGACCGTGAAGGCAGAAGGAAGCAGGGTTCTGGCTGGACGGCGTGTGTGCGTCAGCCGGACGGAGGGCCGTGCGGAGAGTGGGTTCTGGACTGATTATGACTTCATCGGAGCTCATCTGCACTCGCTAGGAATAAAGCACCTTTCAGTGAAGGTGGGAGACCCGTGAAGCTGGGATTCCAAACCTACAAATGCAGTGTGGGAGGCCAACAAGAGTAAGTCCCTCGTAGGTGCCCATCGGTACACGCCGCGTGCGTGTGTCCACAACTGTATCTGTCAGCTTCCATGCCTGCCGGCGTGTCTCCACTGGAGGGCCACTCTCAAGGGGACGGCTGGGAGTGCCTGAGATACATCTGGTTATCAGAGCTTTGGGGCTGGTTTGTCATTGGCTTCCTTTCGTTAGAGACCGAGGTGCTGCTGAACAGCTGGCGACGCACAGCACAGCTCCCTTTGAGAAAATAAGTGTCTCAAAGTGTCAACAGTGCTGCTAGTCTGTGGCACGCCATTGGCCTGTATTGTACATGTTGAATCTGTCACTGTGTATGGCTCAGAGTGAGAAGATATCTCTGTGATCATTGTTATGTTGATGATTCCGGGCTGTGGAAAGCACTTCCAACTGTCTGCTGCGAAACCCTTCTCCATTCTTCCTTAAAAACAGAGCCAGTTCCTCATGATGCAGTGTGTCCAGCTCATCCCTCAGATGCCTTGCAACAGGAGCAGACATGTCTCACAACGCTGGTTAGCAAGCTGTCAGTAATAATCTAGCAAAGTTAATATTTTCCTGATAAAATGTAAGATATCAAAATGATCAATCTTCTTCTCCTCTCCCTGCCCTCCTGCCTCCAATGCTGATACTGTTGTTTGAGACACAGCCAACCCTCCACATCACACCATTCATTGGAAGCCACACAACAGGTCCGGTGGAGCAGAAGGAGAAAGTCAGGCACAGAGGAGGGAGCAGCTCTGCTTCCTGCACCATTACACACTACTGCCTAAAAAGCTCTCCTTGGAAAACAGCTTTAAAACCCTATAACATGTTAAAATAAAGGTCTCTAGTCCTGCAAGCCAGTCACTGATTTTGTGAGAAAGGAAAGAAACCCAAAATGATTTAAGTGAATGCTGATCTTAGGTATTATTTCAAGAGAATGTGTCAACCCCTTCCCATTTGACAGCTGTGTGTGGTTTGGGAAACAGGAAAAAAGAAACCCTAATTTAGATTGACGAGTTAACCAGGAATTTGCCAGCAGTGCTGAGCTCTCAAAGACACACATTTTGGGGGCGTACTGAACAACAACCAAACCTACAGCAGAGAAGCTAGCAAGAAACTTACCTAGCTCAGTATTAGCAGCCAGAGGAAACTTATTTACTAGAGGACTTGTGGCCATTAGCCAGTGTTCACATGGAAAGACTCCTCAGCTGACAAGGAACCTGAAGCAAACATAAATCCTCCCTAGAGGAAGGGAACTTCAGCACACCCTGAGGAATCCCAGAGTAGAAAGATGGCAAACTCTCAGTCAGAAAAGAAAGTAATGTATCATGGCAAAGAGCCAGCAGCCCTGGAAGATACTGTGATATGTCAGAAATGTGAGGGGATTGAGCCCTAAGGAATCAGAAAGAAAAAAAATCATACAGGTGAAAGAAAAATCAATACAACAGAAATTTAATAGAGAAAAATCAATGAAATCAAAGCCTCATTCTTTAAAGAATCAATGAAGTTAACTGATAACCAGACCGAGAAGAAAAGACACAGACTACCAATATCAGAAATAAAAGAGTAAGCATCATTATAAACCCCAAAGAGATCATACAGATAAGGGCCCATTATAAAGAAATATATCACAATAAATTTGACAATTTATAAAATTAGGCAAATTCCTTAAGTGACACAAAATGTAAAACTCATGTAAGAAAATGAATGTAAAATTTGATTTGAGTAGCTTTTAAAATATCAGTCTACAAGTGTACCCTTGTAGATACTTTCATTGCTTGCTTCCATAAATAAATATTCAACTAACAATTTTGTGCAAATGCCTTTGCATTTTTTGGCACCTTTACCCCTACATTACAGAACTGTTAAGGGGATCTGTATTGCCCTCTTTGACACATATTAAGCACTTCTCTGGGAAGTTGTACCGATTTACAGCCCATGAACATATACGGAAGCTGAAATTTCAAATGATTTCAATTTTCCCAGCTGCAGATCAATTACATCTCTTGTGTTTAATTACATTTCTTGAATGCAAGATGCAGCATCTTTTCATTGTATTTATCATACACTTGCTTTTTGTCATATTTCTTTTTAGTACTAATTGGGCCTTGCGTTACTTTGACATTTTTCTAGATATTTTATTAGAGGCAATAATTTCTCACTGTATAAATTACAAATTGTTTTCTGTTAAGCTTCAATGTTACTGTGTGTTGTCTCACAAAAAATATGTACAGAAACATCAACCTGTCTCTGTTAAAGTGTATGGGAGCCGCATGTCCAGTGTTTATCCAGCTAAGGTCAGATCTCCACCACCTTGGAAGCTCTTCATGCACCCCAGGCCTGAGCATGTGCTGCAGGAATGAGCAAGTGGACAGGGGCAGAGCCTCCAGCTGACTCACAAATCAATGCAGCAGCCTTGTGTCCTGGGGCAGACAGGCATGCAGCCTCCACTCCCTGGAAAGCACCAGTGGAAGCCTGAGGCAACTACATCTGGAAAGTTTTTGAAGAGGTGACTGAGTTAAAAGGAAGTGGTGGGGTCCCTGATCCAGTACCAGTTGTGTTCTCCTAAGAGAACGTGTGGGCATGTGAAGAGGTGCCAGGAGAGACCACGTGAGAACACAGCATTCAGCAGCCCAAGAGTGCGGAAGAGGACAGACCAAGTCGCTGATATGACAGTGGACTTACAGCTTCTGGAGCTGGGGGAAAACAAGAGTCCTGCTGCTGAGGCCACCGTCCTGTCTGGTTATGGCAGCTCCATGAGGCCAGCAGAGAAGCCAGCCGCTGACACAGAGTGTATGGCTAATATTGCTTCAGGCCACTGAAGTTTTGTGGCTGTCTTACAACATCACTGTGGCCACGGTTAAGCGATAGCTACTGAGGTCAGGAACCTGGGTTTCCTTGTGTATAGAATGAGTCTCTGAAGTGTCTTTTACTGGATTCGGAGAATTCATTGGTTTGTTGGTAAGACTGGTCCTCAATCGGAACTGTGAACTCCTCTCCAGCCCCTCTGCTCCTCCTGCGTGGCACCACCGAGACCCACCAGCAGTGTGGCTCAGTACCCGCTGTCTCAGGAAGGGACAGCAGGAAGAGGACAGAATGCCTGACTCAAGCAAGGCCAGGAGAAACTGGCGGAGCCGTGGATCCGGAAGGGCGGAATGCGGGTCTGGGAAATGAAAAGGGCTCTGCTCGTACTTGGCAGGAGCAATGGGAGCTTGTCTGGGAACCGCCCCTAGCTCCTCTGGGCTGGAAAGAACCACTCCATGTCGATGTTCGGGGCACCTGGCCGGAGGTACAGGCGGCCTGAGGCCTCCGCCGAAAGCGACTCTTCCTCCCTTGGATTCTTCCTTTGGCAGGTAAGATTCACCGCGAGGTGAGGCTGTTTTCAAAAGGAGCCTGAGGAGATGAACTGCTTAAATTAGGTTAGTTTCTCTTTAATCATCACTCTAAGAGTTTAAGATTTGAGAAAATTAATTAAATATCCATCTCACCCAATCTCTGCATCCAACCGCGTCGGGTGAGGAAGGAGAAAGCCTGGGGATCCTACCCGGGTGTGGGTGTGGGAAACCGCGGGGCGGGGGAGCGACGCCCGGAGGACCGCGGCCT